CCCCCCCCCCCTCTAAAGGGGCCCCCCCGTCTTTCGGGGGGCCCCCCCTATCTCCTGCAGAAGGAAGGGCCCCCCATCTTATTGGGGGGCCCCTCCTTCGGCTTAATCCCTCTATAAAAAGGGGGCCCCTTCCGTTTACTTCCTGAGGGGCCCCCTCCCTCTGAGGGTCCCCCCAATCCTCTTGGGGGGCCCCTCGCCGCTGCTGCGTAGGGTACAGCCAATTGTCTTCAATACCCTGTCTCCTCAGGGGGCCTCCCCTTTTCAGGGGCCCCCTGGGAAGAAAGGGGCCCCCTTTCTCCTAGGAGGCCCCCATCCCTCTTGAGTGCCCCACTCCCTGTGGGGGGCCCCCTCTCCCTTTGGTGGGCTCCTCTCCCTTTGGGGGGCCCCTTCCCTTTGATGGGCCCCCCATCCCTCTGATTAGTTTAGGGCTTTAGCCTTTCTGGGGGCCCCTGAAAGCCGGCCCCTTCCCCATGAATAAGGCCCCCACCCCTGAGGGCCCCGCCTTTGTACCCGTGGGGGCCCCCCTAATGGGGCCCCCCTACTCTATTCTTCAGGATACTGCTGCTGCTGCTGCCAAGGAATGCCTCATTAACCTCAGGAGAAAAAATAAGACGGCGTAAACAACCACCTAAAAAAATAAACAAAAAAGAATAAACAGCAGCAGATGCAGCAGCAGCAGCAGCAGCAGCAAGTGCAGCAGGCGGAAGTGCAGCAGCAGCACCATCACGAACAGCAGCAAAATTAATGCCAGCAGCAACAGCAGCAGCAGCACGCAATCAGCAGCACATGCAAGATCACCATAAGCATCAGCAGAATCACCACCAGCACCAGCAACAGCAGCAACAGCAGCAGCAACAGCAGCAGCAGCAGCAGCAGCAGCAAGACCTACCAAGGAAGATGAATTCAGACGAATCACCAATGAGGGCCCCGCACTGTTGTGCTGCATTTATATCGCACCCTAAGGAGACAACGAATTGGGCCCCTGCTGCTGCTGCTGCTGCTTCTGCTGCTGCTGCTGCTGATTCTGGGGTTTGCTGTTTATCAGTACCAGCTGCTGCTGCAGCAGCAGCAGCAGCAGCAGCAGACTGCATCTTAAAGGTTACCTTCCCGCTGCGGTGAACAAAAAGACGGCCAATACGCCCAGAGGGTAATTCTTCTACGGTGCTGAGGGGCTCGTTGCTGCTGCTGCTGCTGCTGCTGCTGCTGCTGCTGCTGAGTAGCTGCTGCTGCTGCTGCTTTGTATGATGCCGTTGCTGCTGCTGTTGCTGCTGCAACATAGCAGCTCTATCAAGAGGAGGAAGATGACGAGGCAGCTGCAGCAGGATAAAAGGCCCATTGCTCGTCATACACTCGCTGCTGCTGCTGTTGCTGCTGCTGCTGCTGCTGTTGCTGCTGCTGCTGCTGATTGCTGCTTCCCCTTGAATTGCTGCTTCCCTTAAGACCTCCGCTACTGAACTTGGCGGCCGATTCGTCTGCAGCAAAAGACACAAGCAGCAGAACGCATGCACCAGCAGCAGCAGCAGCAGCAGGAGCAGCAGGACCAGGAGCAGCAGCAGGAACAGCAATCTTCGGAGCAACAGCAACAGCAGCAAGAGCATCAACAGAAGCCACAAATGCAAGGGCAACAGCAGCAGCAACAGCAGCAGCAACAGCAGCAGCAGCGACGCTTACACAAGGAAAAGGAAGAGAGAGCGGGGTGTATATACACTCCCCTTGCGGGTTACTAAGAGAAGATAAAGGGAGACCTCTCTGATGCTGCTGCTGCTGCTGCTGCTGCTGTTGCTGCTGCTGCTCTTCTTCCTCCTCCTGTTTACGGGGGGAATCAGCAGCAGCAGCTGCTGCTGTTGCTGCTGCTTCTGTTTGGATCTGCAGCGCCCCTTTATCGCTTTGTCTCGCTGGCCGCGCCTT